AAGAAAGTAAACCAAAAAGGGAAAAATTCTAAACCCAAACTCTGTAATAAAGCAAAGTGGCTCTGATGAGCTAGATTCAGATTATTCCAGATTTTAATCGAAATAACAGTAGGACATTTTACCAGCGGAGAAATTGAAAATCAGAAGAAATGAGATTAATAAACTATAATATAATCAGGAGTTCAGTTAAAAAAAAACAGCCATTTAATCGGACATAACCCTACTTTTTAAAAAATCTCATTTTTCTTCCTTTTCAATTTAGTGAAAGCACGGAGCAGGTGGGGTAGATACGGGGTCTGTGATGTGTTTGGGATGATGAGGGGGTCCAAGTCTCCCTAGTTCCTTCCTGGCTCTGCCTCCTCACACTATCGGTTCACCTCGTCTCTGGGCTCCAGGCCCCCATTGGTTAAGAGTGGGACCGTGGTGCTGCCAGTCACCAGTGCTGCTTTTCCTTTCAGGATTGCTTCTTCCTTTCACCCCTTTCGTTTTCCATCTTTCCACCTTTTACTACGGACAGGCTATTTTTGTCTCTGCCCGGGACCGCCTGAGAGAGCCTGAGTTTATTTTTACCAATTATAAGGAATGAGGCAGAGGCCTCTCCCTATAGCAATCATGACCCATGAGAGCTCCTTTCCCTGAACGATTTCATCGGGTCAAAGAGGAATAGGCGAGCTGCTGCCACCTGTGCCAGCGGAGGCAGACTTTCAAATCATCCTAACGAAAGAAGGCAAAGGGGGGAATCCCAGCTCCCTTATCATTGAAGTCGTCTCCCTGTAATCATGGAAATAAAGGGAGTATTGATTACAGAGTCCGTGCTGCTGAAGAATTAGGTTAAGGCATTCCCCCAGAAGACATAAAAATGAAGAGGTGTGGAAGGCAGGAAGAGAAAAGTCGGCAGCGATAAACAAGAATCTCAGAAAGAAGCCCAAGTATGAGGAGGGTCAAAAAAAAAAAAAAGTGGAAAGCAATGCTGTTAACTTTTCATTCCATCTCTCAGGGAACATTATCTTACAAGAATTTGTTGTGAATTGGGTGACGGTGAGCGGGGGCAGATCAGCAGCTTGACCCACGGCCGTTTGTGCATATCTTGCGAGGACTCCTTCACCGCACACCCTCCACGTACCGGCTCCTCTCCCCATTCCTCCCTGTGTGTCCTCTTGCTGGTCCTCTGTCTCTCCCAACCCTTCGGAACGCTGTGCTTGATGAAATGCTGCCCTTTCGATCTCAACTGAAGGATCATTCTAAGGCATGTGTACCTACCTGGCGTGCTCCTGTCTCATATGATTGTTTGGCTGAACACTAAGCCAGGGGTGTGGTTTCCATTCCAGGCCTGAATGGTGACAAAGGATCATAGTCTCAGGAGTCCCACAGTTTCTATCTGACCACTAAGGCTGGTCCCTTCTGTGACGCTGAGTTTTATTTCACACTTTTCTTTCCCTCTACCAATGGTCCTTTCAGAGTAGTGTTTAGTGTAGCTGGGAACCATGTACTCTTTCTGATCTCAGATCCAAGGAGACTGATGTTCCTTTAGTCCAGTGGTTCTCAACCCGTGGGTGCGACCCCTTTGGGGATCAAATGACCCTTTCACAGGGGTTGCCCGATTCATAACAGTAGCAAAATTACAGTAATGAAGTAGGAACAAAAATAATGTTATGGTTGGGGGATCACCACAGCATGACGAACTGTATTAAAGGGTCATGGCATTAGAAAGGTTAAGAACCACTGCCTTAGTCCATTACTCCACTGGGCTAATTGTTTCCATCAATCTTTTATTTTTACCACTCTCTTTGAGACAGAGAGACACCAACAGTTGGCCCTCCCATGGTCACTTATGAGCTGTTATGAGCCCAGCCACTGCTTATAAAAGGAGCCTGTTTAACCTTGTCTTTGTTAGCAGTGTTATGCCCATTGACCTTGGTGTCCTTGAGACTATGATGCTGATTCTCCAGGTCCCATGACTCATTTCCTCAAGGTCTTTGTTATGTCAGGGAAATTTTCATAAGTTTGTTCCCAGAATGCTCTACCACATTCATGGATGTATTTGCAGCAAAAGTAAACACCCATATACAAACAGCCCCTGTCAAACTGATACATATTTATGGGCATAAATCCACTCTTTCTCCCACCTCCATTCAGCCTGGGAATCTAGCCAAGCATCTACTCATGGACCATTATTGTTGTGAGATTGTGCATGCAATGAACAGTATTTCCCTCCATTGCCTTTAACTCGTGCACATCTCCCTGTGTCGTCTCCTGCCTCTAACAGTTGTGGCTAACTCTCCCCTTATTGATTTCACCCTCCTTCTTAGTCAAGTTTATGTGTGTCTAGTCTCTAACCCATGATGTCCTCTCCCTTCCCTACCCAACCCTAGTAACCATGAGAAAAGGCCTCCTTTAGTGTCGAAACTGCCCTTGACATTTTATAATAGTGGTCTCATATGACATTTGGTGACTGACCCATTTTACTCAGCATGTCCTCCAAATCCATCTGTGATGTGAGGAGTTTTGTAGGCCTATCCTCATTATTTAATAAAAGTTAGTATTGCATTGGGAAGAGCCCTGATGGAATACAGGATTATGCATAACCACAAGAACAGTAGTTCAAAACCACCAGCCACTTTGTGGGGAAAAGCTGAGGCTTTCTGCAGTCTCAGAAACCCACAAGGGCACTTTTGCTCTGTCCCATAGGGTCCCTGTGAGTTGGAATTGACTCCATGACTGGAGTATTACTTGTGTGTAGACTCCAAAGTTGGTTTATCCATTCTTCCACTGACGGGCATTTACAGGTAGCTTGTTTTGATACTTTTGCTCTTGTGAGCAGTGCTTCTGTGAACGCAGGGTGCACATATGTACATCTGTGTTATGGTAGGTCTCACTTCTCAGCAAAAACACCAAGTAGAAGGATTGTTGGGCCATTTTCATAAACTGTTTGAAAGTCCTTTCATATAAAGGAAGAATAGAAAACATTTGCAGAAACCATTACTATTTCCCAGGTTAAAAAAATAATATCAAGCAGGGCCGCCAAAAGAATGATTTTTTAAATGCCAAATCATTCATAGGAGGGCCTTAAATACCAGGGAGGGGTGATCAATAACCCAAGCGAACCCACCGCCATCAAGCAGATTCCAGCTTCTAGTGACCTAGGGTTTCCAAGACTGTGCGTCTAGGGAGCTGACAGCCTCTTGTTCTTCCCTCAGAGAAATCAGGGGGTTTGAACCACTGATTTTGTGCTTAACAGCCCAAAGTCTAACTCAAACTCCATTAGATTACTGTTGTAATTTTGAAAGTAGAGACGTGCAAAAATAAGGAAGAAATGAGAAGAAAGGGGGAGGGAAGACGGAGAAAGTGCAAAGACCAGCCAGAGCTCTTTTTGCCTGAGACATTCCGTCTCTCATCTTTCCCCAGATGGCCTCACGTCAATGCTCCTCCGAGGACCAGGATCAAGGACTTGGCGTTCTCATTGGACAGATGAGAAAGCCCATGCTTAAAGTTTGAAATTTTTTCTCAGGTAAATTTCTTGTAAGTTAAGAGTCAAAGGACCTGTATATCAGTATCTCTCTCCCCCGGCTCTCTCGCTCTCTCTCTCATTGGCATTTCTTGTGATTAATAAGGGGATGCACATCAACTGTAGAGACCTTATAAAAGGATGTGGACAGTGTCGTAGGAAAGGAGAGAAGGTTAGCACTCCCTTTGACAAGGATGGAAGATGCCCTCGGGCCTAAAACATGCATATGGTTAAGGCTTTGCCACCTACTTTGTGGCATTTATCATGGCTTTTTATTATTATTATTTAAATAATTTTATTGGGGGCTCATACAACTCTTATCACAATCCATACATCCATCCATGTGTCAAGCATATTTATACATTTGTTGCCATCATCAGTCTCAAAAATTTGCTTTCTACTTGAGCCCTTGGTATCAGCTCCTCGCTTATTTCCCTCCCTCCCCGTTCTCCCCTCCCTCATGAACCCTTGATAATTTATAATTTATTATTATTTTATCATATCTAACACTGCCTGACGTCTTCCATCACCCACTTTTCTGTTGTCCATTCCCCCCAAGGAGGAGGTTATATGTAGATCCTTGTAATTGGTTCCCCCTTTCTACCCCACCTTCTCTCCACCTTCCTGGTATCGCTACTCTCACCACTGGTCCTGAGAGGTTCATCTGTCCTGGATTCCTTATGATTCCATTTCCTATCTGTACATCCTCTGCTCTAGCCAGGTTTGCAAGGCAGAATTGGGATCATGATAGTGGGTGGGGAGGAAGGCTTTAAGAACTAGAGGAAAGTTGTATGTTTTATCAGTGATACACTGCACCCTGACTGACTCATCTCCTCCCCCATCCCCTGCAAAGGGATGTCCAGTTGCTCCAGATGGGCCTTGGGTCTCCACCCCTCACTCCCCTTCATTCACTACGATATGCTTTTTTGTGTTTTGGTGCTTGATACCTGATCCCTTCGACACCTCGTGATCACACAGGCAGGTGTGCTTCTTCCATGTGGGCTTTGTTGTTTCTGGGCTAGATGGCTGCTTGTTTACCTTCAAGCCTCGAAGACTCCAGATGCTATATCTCTTGATAGCTGGGCACCATCAGCCTTCTTCACCATACTTGCTTATGTACACATTTGTCTTCAGCATTTGTATGGGGAAGGTGAGCATACAATGATGATTTTCTTTTTGTTCTTTGCTGTCTGCTACCTGATCCCTTCAACACCTCGTGATCACACAGGATGCTATACTTCTTTCATGTGGGCTTTGTTGCTTCTGAGCTATGTGGAGAAGAAAGCAATGGGACCGATGGTTCCGAGGGGACATGGGAGAGTGGGAGGTGGGGGAAAGGAAGTGGTGTTAACCAACCCAGGGACAAGGGAACAATGAGTGATTCAAAACCAATGGCAAGGAGGGTGCGGGAGGCCTGGTGTAGGGAGTGACCAAGGGCAATGTAACCGAGAGGAATTACTGAAACCCAAATGAAGGCTGAGCATGATAATGGGACAAGAGGAAAGGAAAAGAAATAGAGGAAAGAACTAGGAGGCAAAGGGCGTATACAGAGGCCTAAATGCAGGCATATACATATGTAAATATATTTATATATGATGATGGGGAAATAGATCTATGTGCATACATTTATAGGTTTAGTATTAAGATAGCAGACAGACATTGGGCCTCCACTCAAGTACTCCCTCAATGCAAGAACACTTTGTTCCATTAAACTGACATTCCATGATGCTCACTTTCTCAATTCAATCGCTGGACACAAATGTGTGCATAAGCAAGTGGGGGGAAGAAAGCTGATGGTGCCCAGCTATCAAAAGATACAGCATCTGGGGTCTTAAAGGCTTGAAGCTAACCACGGCTTTTGAGCAACAAATCCTGAAGGGGATGTGGTAAAATAGGAACTCTCTTTCACTGCTGGTGGTCGTGTAGATACATACAGCCACTGTGGAAAGTGATCTTGTGATGTTTAAAGCAAATGGAAATTGAGCTACCTTACAATCCAGAAATCCCTTTATGGATCATATACCCAAAAGAGGTAAGAAATAGACTACGACGAGTCATCTGCACTCCAATGTTTATTGTGGTGCAATTTACAATCACAAAGAATTGGAAACAACCTGAATTCCCATCGATAGATGGGTGGATTAGAAAACTGGCACATACACACAATGGAGCACTATACATCACTAAAATGCACTGATGACTGCAGGAAGCACAGTGCCTCCTGGGAAGAGTTGGAGGAAATTGTGCCAGGGGAAATTAGCCAATCACTAAAAGACAAGTAGGACATGAGTCCATGGAGATAACTATAATCAGCACAGCAGTATAGAAGAAAAGCCAGTTATCTCACACTATACGGGTTGAGGTTCAGACAGCCAGGTGGAAGACAGGTCAGACCCAAGGATGTACATGCCATTCCAACATACAGAATGGGAAAGGGAGGACAGGAAGGGAGAAAAGAGGGGAAAGAAAGGAGACGATGGCACTGGGGGAGCAGGGCACTAACCCACCCAGGGGGGAGAGTATTGGTTATGTCTCCACAGAATTGGGAGTGTGCATGCAGACCCCACCACAGTGCACCAAACCATGAGGGCAACGTAACCACACAGAGCAACGCATGAACAGAGTGGCTACAAGGCCGGCCCCAATCAGAACCAAACTGACCCCTCCCTAGAAGTATGTGCCACAGAGGACAACACTAAACCTACAGGTTGGGGAGAGGGTCTGACCTGCCACGCCCACACAGAAGCAAACCAAGAAGGAAAAAGAGAGAGTGAGGGTCTAGACCCCACATTGGCACACCAAGCCCCGGAGGACAAAGTCCCTGCATGGAGCTGCTATGGCACAGGGAGGACCGGAGGGCTGACAACAGCTCGAGACATGATGCCCCCTCCCTGGAGCACACCAGGACAGAGGACAATACTGCGGACACACAGCAGGGTGTTAGTCTAGTCTGAATCCCCCACAGCGGGGCAAACCAAGAAGGGAACATAACAGATCAGCAATGGTAGCAAAGCCAAGCCACAAAGCCCCAGAGTAGCCCCCAAAATAGACTTCAGGGAAGGAGGGGCAGTTCCAGGAACCCCCCAGAACCAGTGGGGAGATAGTCATAAAGGTCAGTGGACATATCTGAAATTATATACACTTTTTTGGGGTTTTTGCTTATCTTTTTCTTCAATCTTTTATTTTCTCTTTGTTCTGTCTCCATTATTGTTGTTTTGCCCACCTATAGAAGATAGCCACGAGAAGCAAGCCTGGGGAGAAAGCAACAGGCTCGATGGTCCTGGAGGGACTTTGGGGGAGGAGGAGGCAAGGGAAGGGAGCAGTGAGCAAACAATGCCATGTACAGGGGACCAACTATGAAATGAAAACAAACAATGAGGAAGAAGTAGAGATCCCGGTGGAGCTGGAGCAACAGCAATCTAGCTGAGAATTACTAAGAGGCAGACGAAGGGTGAGCAGGCGGAAGGTGAAAGATAACAGAGGAAAGATCCAGGGAACAAAGCTATGGGTAGAGGTATAAACATCAGTGCGTACATACGTAAAGACATTAATTTAACAATAGAGGTATGGGCCTATGAACATAGTTATATGGCAACACATTGAGGAAGTGGACAGACGTGGGGCCTCTGCTCAAGCTCTGCCTCAACACAAGGACTCTATGTTCTACCTCCTGGCATTCCGTGATGCTCACTTTCCGGCACGATCGAAGACAAAATGGTGCATAAGCAAATGTGGTAAAGAAAGCTGATGGTGCCAGCTATCAAAAGATATAACGTCTTAAAGACTTGAAGGTAAACAAGCGAGCATCTAGCAAAGAAGCAACAAGCCCACATGGAAGAAGCACACCAGCCTGCGTGATCATGAGATGTTGACGGAATTAGGTTACAGGCACCAGAACACCCAAAAACAAACAAACAAAGAACATAATGCTGAGAACCACGGGGGGTTGGAGCAGAGACCCAAGCCCATCTGTAGACAATAGGACATTCCCTCACAGAAGGGTCACAAGGAAGGGTTGAGTCAACCAGAGTACAATGTAGCACCCGATGAAGTATGCAATATTCCTCTGGTTAAGGCGTCCCCCCATTATCATGAACCCAGTCCTACTTTCCATTACTGACTAGACCAGAGAATGTACACTGCTACAGATCAGAGCTCATGAAACATAGAGTCCAGGTCAGATACACTCCTCAGGAGCAGAAATGGGAGTAGCAATACCAAAAGGGTAGGGGGGAGGTGGGGAAAGGAGGGAAAGAAGAGGGAACCAATCATAATGATCGCAGCATAACAACCCCGCCCCCTCCCCTGCCAGACAAACAACAGCAGCGTTAGTGAAGGGAGACAAGTTGGTGTAAGATATGAAAATAATAATAAATGATAATTTATCAAGGTTTCACA